TAACACTTTTATTAGGGATATCAACCCATAACAATAACATCAAAACATTTGGAATTCTCAAACCCATATTGTTGCTCACACACAGTAACATGTATTTTCACAGCCACAAAATCAATTACTAATCTATTGCATGTAACAACAAAGAAATTAACAAAATAGAAATCAATACCATTTTTAATTCGTAATAATGAGTCACATTTTTTAATATAGGAATCTAAAACAAATAACATCAAATTTACTACAACTTCAATGTTTAATTTTTACTGTAAAATTAATTAATATTAAATTCACTTTAAAATCTTTGAATATCAAAGTTACTGTAAAATCAATGAGCATCAAAGTTTCTGTAAAATCAAAATTACTGTAAAATCTACATGCCAAAGACACATCTTGATATTGCTAATCCACCAGATACAAGTCTTTCTTTACCGCAGAAACAAGATCTCTTCAAGCCAATTCATAATCCTAAAAGCAATTGAACTTCCCAAAAATCCAAGATGTAATGTACAAAAAAATGAATCTCTGTTGTAGCATAATGTAATGGGTTTTGAATTTTGAACATCAATGGAGTCAGTTGTGAATTTGAAACACCGGTTACTTGATATTGGAGAAGGAAAACAATTGAAGTGGAAGAGAAACCGCCGGATTTGTAGCCGCTATCGAAGGGAACGATGTCTTTGTGTAACCATCTATGAAAAAGACGAAGAGTTGAACGACGTTAAGGGTTTTTTTAAGGGGTAGGGGTACAATGGTAAACATGGCAAAAAGTGGACTTAAAACCTAATAAGTTTCTTTGATGGACTTATCTCCAAATAAGTCCATCTAAGGGGACAGACCTCCAAATTTTCCTTGTTTTTATCCTAGTATTAATCTCGGTTATTGAGATTTCATTGGACTGGTTAGGACTTTAAATTCAATTCAGTTCAGTTCATCCATGATTTGCCAAACACCCGCACTTTGGATATGTCAAAGGGGATGGGATTTTCGTTGTGATTCAAATACTCGTCTGTAGGTTTTGACTCAACAGGATAACTGGAACCCATGGGACGTGTGGAATTTAGAAGTAAGTTTGTAGAATTAGTTACGAAATTACTAAAGCACCCACTGCCTGGTCCCAACTCTCATCTTAGAGTAATGAAAAACCAAGCACCCTTTCCCTAATCCCCAATGCTCAGATTCTTCACCCATTGAAAACTTCCTTTGATTCCCGAGTTTTTCAACACCTAGAAAGCCAAAATTTTTGGAGAGAGAGAGAGATGAAACGAGACCACCAAAATCTTTGCCAAGAAAATTTCCCTTGTGGTGTTAGCGCCACCAGCAACTCCTCCATAGGTGATGGCTCTAGTTGCGGCGCTGGTAATTTTTCGATGACTACAACCCACGAAAAATCAAAGATGTGGGATGAAACTGGGCAAGACGCTAGAGTTGATGAACTCTTGGTGATTTTTGGGTACAAAGTGGAGTCCTCAGACATGGCTGAAGTTGCTCAGAAGCTTAAGTAGCTTGAAGAAATGATGGTTAGTGTTCAAGAAAATGGTCTATCTTATCTTGCTTCTAATACTGTTCATTACATCCCATCAAATATCTTTTCTCGTCTTGAATTGATGATTTCTGAGCTCAATCTACTGCACAATTTTGACTCATCTTTGGTGATGCAAGGCCCTTTTGCCTAAATCAGAATTCNCCGCAGAAACAAGATCTCTTCAAGCCAATTCATAATCCTAAAAGCAATTGAACTTCCCAAAAATCCAAGATGTAATGTACAAAAAAATGAATCTCTGTTGTAGCATAATGTAATGGGTTTTGAATTTTGAACATCAATGGAGTCAGTTGTGAATTTGAAACACCGGTTACTTGATATTGGAGAACGAAAACAATTGAAGTGGAAGAGAAACAGCCGGATTTGTAGCCGCTATCGAAGGGAACGATGTCTTTGTGTAACCATCTATGAAGAAGACGAAGAGTTGAACGATGTTAAGGGTTTTTCTAAGGGGTAGGGGTACAATGGTAAACATGGCAAAAAGTGGACTTAAAACCTAATAAGTTTCTTTGATGGACTTATCTCCAAATAAGTCCATCTAAGGGGACAGACCTCCAAATTTTCCTTGTTTTTATCCTAGTATTAATCTCGGTTATTGAGATTTCATTGGACTGGTTAGGACTTTAAATTCAATTCAGTTCAGTTCATCCATGATTTGCCAAACACCCGCACTTTGGATATGTCAAAGGGGATGGGATTTTCGTTGTGATTCAAATACTCGTCTGTAGGTTTTGACTCAACAGGATAACTGGAACCCATGGGACGTGTGGAATTTAGAAGTAAGTTTGTAGAATTAGTTACGAAATTACTAAAGCACCCACTGCCTGGTCCCAACTCTCATCTTAGAGTAATGAAAAACCAAGCACCCTTTCCCTAATCCCCAATGCTCAGATTCTTCACCCATTGAAAACTTCCTTTGATTCCCGAGTTTTTCAACACCTAGAAAGCCAAAATTTTTGGAGAGAGAGAGAGATGAAACGAGACCACCAAAATCTTTGCCAAGAAAATTTCCCTTGTGGTGTTAGCGCCACCAGCAACTCCTCCATAGGTGATGGCTCTAGTTGCGGCGCTGGTAATTTTTCGATGACTACAACCCACGAAAAATCAAAGATGTGGGATGAAACTGGGCAAGACGCTAGAGTTGATGAACTCTTGGTGATTTTTGGGTACAAAGTGGAGTCCTCAGACATGGCTGAAGTTGCTCAGAAGCTTAAGTAGCTTGAAGAAATGATGGTTAGTGTTCAAGAAAATGGTCTATCTTATCTTGCTTCTAATACTGTTCATTACATCCCATCAAATATCTTTTCTCGTCTTGAATTGATGATTTCTGAGCTCAATCTACTGCACAATTTTGACTCATCTTTGGTGATGCAAGGCCCTTTTGCCTAAATCAGAATTCTTGCATAATAATAGTACAATTTATTGGGTAAAAAACATGGACACCCCTAAAATTTGGTAATATTATACGGACACCCCTGACATTTTACAAATAATACGGAGACTCTTGAAGTTTAAAAATCATTTCTTGGGGAACCCTCCATCTCCCTTTCATTAATATTGCTAACAGAAAGTTTTTCAAGTGATATAGTATGGTATGCATCCTTCAATCAAGCATCTCTTCAATGCACCAAAACAAATGTATAATCTCTTGAATTTGACTTAATACCTACCTATAGGTTTGGTTTTAATTATACAGGTGGTTTGTGTGTTGGTTCTCCTCAATTCTTCACTATAATCCCATAGCAGAGCATATTGCTCATTATTAGTCCCACTAACATATGTCATTGCTTTAATTTTTCCCCTATACACCTGACTTCTATGCATATGTAGAACATTTTCCTTTTTTACTACTTCCTTAAGTGATTTCATTGGCTATGCTAGGTTTGATTTGATCTCTCAACATATGTACTAGCTAGCCACTTAGCATTTGCAATCTTCACCTTGACAGATCTATTGCAACTGTGACCTTTAATGTATGTTTTACTCTGCATTGTAATCTTTCCTTGCATACATGAAGCATAAATCATCCAATCACATCCTGGTTTACACACAACCTTTACTTTGTACTTCTTATTTTTGACAAATTTTAGTTGCTTACTCAATTTGATAGAATGTTGTCTAACAGCAGCTCTGAACTCACTTGTGTCTTTAAATAACATACCTAACTTAAATTGTGGATCACCTATGTCAGTCTTGGCATAAACACCGGATATTTTACCCTAAGTTCATCTTCATCTGATGATGAACTTGGAATACTTCTTAGCTCATCTGAATCATAATCTTCAACATAGTTCCCACAATTCCCACCCATTGTTGTATAACTCCTACCTTTCTCAACCCTTTTCCCTTTATTTCTTTCAGTACCATTCTCTTTTCTGTTTCATTCCTCAGTCCCACATCTTCATTTAACACTATATCATGCATTTACATTTCATCCCCATCATATTCACTGTCATATAAATACTCATCATCTGAAGTTGAACTTTCTAATTGTTCATTATACTGAGATGAGTCACAATTTGATGAATTATCAGAAGCCACAACAGTAGCATTTACATCAACCATATTCATACCATCACCCATATCATTTCCTCCATCACATTGTTGTGTTGTTGGACCACAATTTGACTCAGCTTGTCTCTGATCAAAGACTTCTCTAATGTGTTCAACATACGCATCATGGACTTTGTGCATGTTAACCCACTTGCCTATATCCAAAACATCCTGATCTTTGTCTAAAATCTTCAACTCAGTAGGAATTCTATGATGGAACCTCATAATTTGGCAGTACTCCACTCTTATATTTTTCAACATATTCACTAGTTCTACCAGAGAAAGCTGGTCTATGTGACACAAATCGATGTGATTCACCCTCCCTCCAATGTATACTATTTCATTTCCAGGTTGAAATTGGTCACCATGATGCATTCTTATTGTGANAATACTCCACTCTTATATTTTTCAACGTATTCACTAGTTCTACTAGAGAAAGCTGGTCTATGTGACACAAATCGATGTGATTCACCCTCCCTCCAATGTATACTATTTCATTTCCAGGTTGAAATTGGTCACCATGATGCATTCTTATTGTGAAAAAACCATCACCATCATTTGCAGCCAAATCCAAACAAAAGACAAGAGTTATATTTAAATAAGGAAAAAGCGTGACCCCAAAAAGAAAATAAACCAATTGTTAAGTACCCCACATCATTTACACAACAAAATTCACTAGCATGAATCAGATAACAACAAAATNTTTGCAGCCAAATCCAAACAAAAGACAAGAGCTATATTTAAATAAGGAAAAAGTGTGACCCCAAAAAGAAAATAAACCAATTGTTAAGTACCCCACATCATTTACACAACAAAATTCACTAGCATGAATCAGATAACAACAAAATAGAAACAATATAATACAAAACACAAACCCAATTGTCCAATAAAAAAATAAACATTTATATAAACAAAGCATTTTCACATACACTCAAAGTTGAATAAAAAAATAGGTTTTAGCATAAACAAAACTACTTTTTGACCAAAAAATTATTCAATAATTTTCATACTTCATTGAATACATGCAACACGAAAGTTCGTCATTCACACACTTAAACTGCACAGTAAATCTCATATGATAATTTGGTGTTTCTTGTCTAGAATCAAAACTGTTGTTCTCTTCCCTTACCACCCAAGACATTTTTCCAACCTTCAAGCTTTAAGCCGCGATCTGTAATAGCAATGAAGACCTTTCTGGAGGAAGAATTGGC